GCCAGCTCTTGTTCTCGCTGCACAACTTGGTGAACAGGTTTGTCTGGTTCTCAGTGGGCCTTTAGCGACCACCCTTCTCCCTCTCTCTCTCTCTATATATATATGTGTGTGTGTGTGTGTGTATCTTTCTAGTAATATACTTTGACTTCATGGGTTATTGTAGTTCTATGGAGAAACGGTGAAGCAAATGGCACTTCGACAGTTAGTAGCAGGGTCACCTTTGCGGACACTATGCCTATTAATTGCAGGTCAACCGGCTGATGTCTTTTCTGTAGATTCTACAGTTCAAAGTGGTATGCCTGCTGTAAATGTGGCTCAGCAGCCTACACAGGTTTTGTTTTCATAACTTGTTACAACCAGTTGTTCATTAGCTTATTTGCTGCCTTTTTCCTTTGATCTCGTTCTTTATGATTTGCCTAAGCCCCAGGAATGGAGCAATTAAAGGAGTTCTTCACTCTAATAGAGTATATCATTTCTATAACATGCAGTGCATTTATAAGCATAGTGTCATAATTATTCTTTGGCTATTAAAGTTTTGAAAAAAGTTCAGATTAGTATCTACGTAAAGGTTAATAGTGAGAAAAAACTGAAAATGGAACATAGCTATGTGTATTTTGATATTTGGAATTTCAATAATGCCTGCACTTTTGAAGTCCGAGGACTTTTTTTGGTTGGGGATAAGTTAGGTGTGGGCACTAGGGTTCAAATCCTAGCGGAGCGTAGAGACAAAAAAACAATGGGTAATTTTGTCCCATCTGCCTAAGCCTTGGTGCGTAAAGTTACTTGATACCTGTTTTTGGAGGTAGTAGGTACCCGTTAGAATAGTCGAGGAGCACGCAAGCTGGCCCAAACACCATCATTACCCCCCCTCCCCCCCATCCAAAAAAAAAAAAGAGTTTGGTGTGGGCACTGTTCCGTCAGATATGCAGGACTGTGATGATAAGTTAGGTGGGGGGCGTTGTTCTGTCAGATGTGCAGAACCTTAATGATGCCCACATAGGATTCAATAGTCACCCTTAACCATTATGATTGTTTGTGAATGTTGTTTGAAGTTCATCTTTTTATGTCTTGGCATATTGCTTTTGGTCGTTTTATTACGTAACGCCGTAGATCGTAAGTGCATCACTTTCTCTTGTTTTCCCGTTTCTGGGGGAATTGACTTTCTGCTGTTTCCTTCCCTAGTTTATTGCTTGTTGAAGATCTAAGGTTAACACTTTGTCTGGATTATTACCTTATTTTGATTTCTTCTCTTTATGCTAGTTTGGTGCTAATGTCATGCTGGATGACTGGGAAGAGAATTTGGCTGTGATCACTGCAAACAGAACGAAGGATGACGAACTGGTGCTTATTCATCTTGGTGATTGTTTGTGGAGAGAGAGGAGTGATGTAAGCCTTATGCCTTGCTTTTCTTATATTACTCTCTTCAGTGGATTACCTTCCACCTTAACTTTATTCTCTGCTTCTTACATATATTTTCCTTTTTAAAAAACAATGATCTAGATTGTTGCTGCACACATTTGCTATCTAGTGGCCGAAGCAAACTTTGAACCATATTCAGATACAGCGAGATTGTGTCTTGTGGGTGCAGATCACTTGAAATTTCCCCGAACTTATGCTAGTCCAGAGGCTATTCAGGTGCTGCTGACTATTTTTTGTGCATTTTCTAGTCATACGACGAAATGTGAAACATCTTGTGCCACAGCTAGCATATGCACTCATATAACTGTATGTGCTACTTGGCTAACACGGGTTTATCGCTTGACTGATCAAATATTTGTATGGACAGAGGACTGAGATTTATGAATACTCAAAGGTGCTGGGGAATTCTCAATTTATTCTCCTTCCTTTTCAACCATATAAACTTCTGTATGCACACATGTTAGCTGAAGTTGGGAGGATATCAGACGCATTAAAGTATGTATCCTAGTTTTATGTTCAGTAGAGTTCCTTGAAATCCTTTCAACTGGTTGCTTAGCATTTTTAATTTTAGGTACTGTCAAGCATTGTCGAAATCACTTAAAACTGGCCGAACCCCTGAGACTGAAACATTGAGACAGTTAGTGTCATCCCTTGAGGAAAGGATTAAAACTCACCAACAGGTACCTCTTTATCCTATCATCTATGTTGAATGATTGTCTTAGAGTTACTTATGGTGGAACTTTCTGCATTCAGGGAGGGTTCTCCACAAATTTGGCTCCTGGAAAATTGGTCGGTAAATTGCTTAACCTTTTTGATAGCACGGCTCATCGTGTTGTTGGGGGCTTACCACCACCAATGCCAACAAGTGGCAGTTTACAAGGGAATGAACAACATCAGTTTGCGGGGTCTAGAGTTTCAAGTAGTCAGTCAACCATGGCAATGTCATCACTGATGCCCTCAGCATCTATGGAGCCAATAAGTGAATGGGCAGCAGATAGCGGTAGAATGTCAATGCACAGTAGAAGTGTTTCAGAGCCTGACATTGGAAGAACTCCAAGACAGGTGTCATATCCTGTTTCTCTGTAAATATTACATTTGACTGGATCTATCTGATCTGGTTTGAAAAGATAGTTTGTTATGTATTTCTGTAGGATCACGTTGACTCGTCAAAGGAAGCAAGCTCAAGTAACACAGGAAGCAATGCATCAGGAGCTGGACGGACATCACGCTTTCCTCGCTTTAGCTTTGGCTCCCAGCTTCTCCAGAAAACTGTTGGATTAGTCCTCAAACCTCGTCAAGGCCGTCAGGTAGATTATTTATTTTTCTCCGCTGTCATTTTCTTGATTGTGGTCCTCATAAAGTTTGATGTCAAGACTTGTTTCCATTTGTCTTGATTCCTTGCAGGCAAAATTGGGTGAAACGAATAAATTTTATTATGATGAAAAGCTTAAAAGATGGGTAGAGGAAGGGGCTGAACTTCCTGCTGAGGAACCGGCCCTTGCACCTCCACCAACCACTGCAGTTTTCCAGAATGGAGCACCAGATTATAACTTGAAGAATGTATTAAAAAGTGAAAGTTCTATATGCAACAATGGATTTCCGGAAATGAAAAGTCCAACTTCTGCTGATAATGGTTTGGGAATCCCACCTCTTCCGCCTACCTCCAACCAATTCTCGGCTCGTAGTCGTGTGGGTGTCCGGTCAAGGCAAGTGATATTGGCTTATTAATTATCTTTGGATGATATGTTTGAACCTTCGGTGGCTTAGGCACAACGGCCGTTGTTTGTTTTCTTGGTCTGATTCTGAAATAGGATGTTTAATTGTTAAGAATATACTTGATAAGCCCTATGCATCAAACTAACATTTTTAGTGTAATATACATCCACCTGATAAGACATTGATCCAAAAGGCACTATCGAGCATTTGTTTCTTCTGTCTATTAGTTATGGTGGCGCCGTGAGCAAATTGAGTTGACATGCTCATTTGAAAACATAAGAATTAATCCTTATCACTGAAAATAATGCAAAAGGAATTCTTTCAAAGGTTTCAACAGAGAAACCTGACCGGCTTCTCTTCCTTCTTTTGGCAGGTATGTTGACACATTCAACAAGGGTGGTGGTAATCCAACAAATCTTTTCCAATCACCTTCTGTTCCTTCCATAAAGCCTGCTACTGCTGGCAATGCCAAGTTTTTTGTTCCCACCCCAATGTCTTCCGTTGAAGAGACGGGGAACAGTGCTTCCAATGAGCAAGAAACTTCAAGTAATAGCGAGAATGATTCAGTCACTACTGTTAATGGATCGTTCCAGTTTCATGCACCAACATCGAGCGCGCCTATGCAAAGATTTGCAAGCATGGACAACCTCTCAAATAAAGGAGCTGGCACTGGCTCTCTATCATCGTACTCCCGGCGAACTGCATCATGGAGTGGAAGCTTTCCTGATGCTTATTCCCCTAATAAATCTGAAGTAAAACCACCAGGCAGTAGATTGAGTATGCCTCCGTCATCATTCATGCCTAGTGATACTAATTCGACGCACTCAATGAATGGCGGCAGTTCTGGTGATGACCTTCATGAAATAGACCTGTGACACAGTAAGATGTATATATTAAGTTTTGCTCGTCTTCGTGGTATCCTGCTCAAAATCTCTTCACTTTTATTGGTAAGCAGTGAAGTGTGATCAAGGAAGCTGGTAACCTTTCCTCTCCCCCCCTTTCTCACACCCCAATATACCTTTTTCTCCTCTCTTTTTATTTACCTACTTTTTGTAAGATCAGTTGTATGTTGAAAGCAATATCTTATTTAGCTGTTTACCTGTAGGTATAGGTTTTTATTTCTTGTTCTTTTTTCTTTTTGTCCTTTTAACACCTGTCGTTTCAGAGACTTGTTACAACACAAGTAAAGTGGCCTGAGATAAACACTGTACAGTTGATTTGTTCATTTATTGAGGAAAGAAACTCTCATTTGATAAATTTTGAATTAATGTATGTTATTGCGCTGCAGAAGAGAACTTTTAGGTCTATTGGAAACAGCCTCTACCTGCATTAGGCATGTAGGTGTAAGGTCTGCGTACAGACTACCCTCCCCAGACCTCACCCGTTGGGATCATACTGGGTTTGTTGTTGTTGTAAAAGAGAACTTTTAGCAAGTTAAGAAAATATGTTATATTTGTTTCTGATATTCAATTATAAATGAATTGCGACACTGCATATTAGTTAGCTTTCTAGTTGCATATTAGCTTCTTTTATCTTATGTGATATCAGTCTTCAAGTGTGGGTTAATGCTCTTAGACTGATTGATTCTAAAGATGCTTGTGAAGGAAAAGGGAAAAAACACAAAGCTGGTTTGAACTCAAAATTTATGTTACTATCTGTAATATCAAAATCAATACATATCACATTACATGTATAAACTACTTGACCAAAAATAAAACATAAAAAAATGTTGCCAATGTCTTCACAAGTCTCAAGCTTGAGAGCATCCTTGTACAAAATTTACTATTGTGTACTTTTTCTAATGTGTGTTATTTCAGATTCAAACAGAGCAAGATTTTGAAACATCCCTTGTGTCTCTTGTAGCAGTTGCCGTGGCGGATAGTGGCAATTCAATGGTTGATAATGGCAATTCAGTGGCAGAAAATGGCAATTAAATCGCTGATAATGGAAGTTCAATGGCTGATAATGGCAATTCAATTCCTTCTCTCTCTCTCTGCCATTTCATTGAACAATTTCTTTCCAATCTCAAACGACACAAAAGCATCAATAGCACCATATTCAAGTTGTTCATAGCTCAAATTCTCAGCATCCCACTTACTCAAAGTAGCATTCTCTGGCTTTTCCATTACTTTCCCAAGTACTGCTTTTGCCATTCTCTTCAACCCCATGTTTCCATACACATATTCACCATAATACGACAATGCAAGTCGGTTCAAATCCACAGTATTCGTGACAAAAAGCCTGTGATCACACATCAACTTCTCAGCATCTCCCTCAACCCCGACACCAACGAATGTGAAATTTGGGTTACTCAGAAACTGTGCGAGGTATCCGGGCATGGAATCTCTGTGTAGGAGTTGAAAAAGAAGGCAACGCCGGCCTACACAAAGTTGGAGAAGAGCAACTGGTTGTTTGTCTTTTGGATTGAAATAAGGGAGCCACTCGATATCAAGACCAATAAGAAGCTTGTGTAGTCTTCGCCTATGAGTATGAATAGTATGCAAAATCCAGTCATTAACAACAATTGCATTCTTGGTTACAGTAACTTCTATTTGGTCACTGTAGAAAGGAACTCCGTATACTTCAGCCATTGATAAACAATACTAAAACAAAGAACTTTTGTTGGTATAACTTGTGGAATGGAATGAATAAGGGGCTGAATATACATATATAAATAACAGAGTGAGTTTTCCTAAATAACGTGGGATTGGAAATGGGAATAGGAAAGGGAATGGGAAGTAACGGTTTGGTTTGCAACAAAAATTAAAACGTTAGTTTCCTAATTTTGCAGCGTCAGTTAAATGGGAGTTTTTTGCTATAATAATTGTAATATATAGGAATTTTACTTTCCTACTTAAAATGGGATTCGGAATTGTTTCCTATTTTGTGTTGGTTTAAGATTTGGCGACAAGAATGTAAAACGCGTAATTACAGTAATGTCCGCTAGGTAAAAGGGATATTTTACTCGTCTGCTAGGTAATGGGAATATTTTACTCATGAAAACTTATTCGTATGGTTTTTATGTAAGTTTGTTTTTTGATTTGTTTTTTTTAGTTTATTTGGATCAACTTAATAAGTATTTTTTTATTGGTAAATATAAAAATTATATCTCAGATATCAAAAAACAAACGTAATTAGCATTTTAAATAAGGAATCACACCTTTATTATAACAACACAAGTAAACTCAACATTTTTACTAGGGAATTATAATGTTTTTCTGTATATTAAAAATAAATTCACACCAGTAAGATAACATTTTCAATTAGGGAATTACACCAAACAGAATAAGAAAATTAAAAAATTATCTTCAATAGATAATTAAATAAACTACAAGTTCCCAAAAATCAAAGTCATAAATCTCATATTCTTTTTAAGCAATACTTATGAAATTTTTATCATAATTTAATAGTAAAGAGATAAAAAAAAATTATAATAACCATAGAATAACACAAATTTTTATGATATAATAAAAGAAGATGAAAATTGACTTTGATCACAATCCAAAAATTCCTATCTAGACCCAAGTTTTTCGGATTTGAAAGAAGAAAACTCATAGATAAATTTCAACTTGAATTTCAACTCGGATTTTACAAATAAAAAGCACAAAGAAAAGGAACAATTAGAAAAGGTTCAAGATAAATTTCAACTTGAATTTTACACACGAGAAAAGCTTTCAAAAAGGTCTACCACCTATGATACCTTTATCTAGTTTACGATTGCGGTTGGCAGGATTAAATATTTAACCTAATTTAAGAAAATTTCAACATCTAATAATTTTATCATCTTAGCAGGTGCCATGACATCCCATCCTAGATGGGATGGATCCACCCGTAAACTTAGACACAGTAAATTAGTATGATTTAATATAAACATCTTGTGCGAGTATGTTTTTTAACACTCCTCTAATATCCTCGTCTCATTTGACTTTTGTGTAATATTCTTCAAGTTTTCGGTCAAGAGGTACAAAAAGTGTCTACTTCGATATCATTCTTATAGTTAAAATTTGTATCTCCCCCAATATTCAAATTAAATGGAAACATCTTCATTCTTCAACAAAGAAAAATTTACTCTTTATAAATAATTAGAAAATCACGATGATAATTGAATAACTAATTGGATTTTAATGTTCACAAATATGAAATATGAATGGTGAAATCCAAATACTCAACGAGAACTGGTGGCCATGTGCCAATCCCTTAGCTAGCTCAGTTGTTTTTTTGGTTTCTTGCCCGATGTATTATACTTTGTATTTAGGTCCGACTAAAATTCTAATATGTGCTAGCTTTGTTACGCCATAACGTAAATGTTTAAGTCTAACCACTATACTTAATAATTTTATATTAAAATGTTTGAAATCATTGGATAAGATCTAACATATTGGGAAATAGAGTAAGCTGCGAATGCAAGTTTCTTAATCATCTCATTAATCTGGTGCTATGTCTCATGTCATGTCTTTTTTAAGGCATTTAACTTTTTAGCTTTTGAAGTTACAATTTTAAAAAACAGAGTAAACTGTCTTTTATGTATTGTATATAGCCAAATTCATGATTGTTATTCTGAAATCAAACGATACCTACCACTCAAAACCTAAAGAAATGTGAAAGAATAAGCAATTCACAATAAGTGGAATTAAAATGGGAACATTATATTATGAAAGAAACACAAAAATGCTTCCCACTTCAGATCAAGTTCTATTCTCTGCCCTTTATTCTTCTCAAGATCCAAAGGTAAGTTTACTGCAAATTAACTGTTTGGTACTATCCGCTAAGGAACTGGCAGCCCGTTGCACTAAGCTCCCGCTTTGTACGGAGTCCGGAAAGGGCCGAACCATAAAGTTCTACTGTATGCAGTCTTTGGTATTAAACTGTATTTGTAAACTAATTCTGGAAAAGATAAAACAACATATAAACAGAAAATATAAACGAAACAAAAGTTAATCCGAGCCCACTGAATTCACACTGTTTCCTTAAGAAATTTAATCCCCTCCTAGTACCTAAGGTTCTGGATCATTTCCTCACAGGATAGAACGAATTACACACTGGTGTAGTGGTACTTCAAACCCCAGTGTTTCAGCGAACACAAAGTTTAATCCCCTCCTAGTACCCAAGGTTATGGATTATTTCCTCCCAGGATAGAACGAATTACGCACTGGTGTAGTGGTACTTCAAACCCCAGTGTTTCAACGAATACAAAGTTTGGTAGCAAATCAGACTTACTGTTGCTTTATTTGAAGTTAAAACGATGCAGAAGAATGAGGAGAAACTCAAAAAATTGTATGAAAATTCTAAGAGAATGGACTTGTATTTATAGCCAATGTTAGGGTGATATCTGAAGAGGTGCAATCCTTTAGAATGGTTGTTTATGCAAAACGGTCATATCATAAATGTCATAACATAAATGGCTATTTACTCAACAATAAACTGGGAGAATTGAAGAGGGTGGTTAATTTTCTGTTACAAAAACAGAAAACTGAAAAATGAAAAACGGTTGGATTTATTATTAATATCATTGGATTTAATATTAATATTCTGTTATTAAAACGAATATTTAATAACATTTGTGTTAATATTTACTATTAACAAATAAATTTGGTCCAAAAAATCAATTCAATCAATCGATTATTTGACCAAATCCAAATCCAAATCCGAATCCGAGCCGAGAGACGACGACGGCGCGAGGCTTGCCTTCTTCTCAACTCTTTAAGAGCTAGAAGAAGAGAAATTGCTTATACACCCATAAAAAACCTCTCTGAGCGAGCGACGACAGCGCGAGACTTGCCTTCTTCTCAACTCTTTAAGAGCTAGAAGAAGAGCAATTGCTTATATATTCATAAAAAACCTCTTCCTCTTCCAATATGGGACAATGTCCCTTCATCAAGGAGGGAATATCAAATGAAACTCAAATATTTTATTTTCCCTCCATTTTCCATTCACCCTCTTTTAAGCATTAATATACTTAAAAAACCCAACAGTCTTACCCTGTATTTATGCAAGAGACTTGCTGTCCACTAAGGAACTAAGATTTACAAAATGTTCAGAGGTTTACAAGATACCTATTCATAGACTATTTATGGACGACCTGGTGCACAAGGCATCTCGCGTTCGTTTAGGGTCCGAGAAAAGGTCACACCACAAGAAATGCCAATGCCGGAGGAGCTCAAATGAACAACAAATCTCAAATTAAAATGCTGCATATGGTTTAGAAAATTAAAGAACATCAGCCGCTTAACGCGCAGCAACTTCCAAACATGTTAAAAGTGTCAAATTATTTTAATTGCCATAAGCTATCTCAGATAACAAAAATACGGAAGGCTGAGATTTGGTATAACACGACGTATGTATTAAATGGATGATAATTCTTGAATTCTTCTCCTGTTTAAAGCAAATGTTGAAGGGCTTATATTCTTCATGGAATTGCATAGTTTTGGGACCGTGAACATATTTAATGCAGCTATCAATCCATCCATCTCCTAAGTGTTCTTTTCTATTGAAAACCAATATCATCAAGTGCACCCGCCCAAAAAACTAAAGCAACTAGAATAATATAGGCCGAAACTCCTCCAGCAAAAATATACGCCAATAACCCTAAGCTTTTAAACCATGTTGTTGGCAATTTATGTAATCAACTAGAAAGGCAAATACTTCTCTCACTACTTTTTTTAAGTGATAAATATGAAAATTTTTATTTGGGAATAGTTTTTGCAAATTGTGACCTTTTAATATTAGGAACTCAACTACGATCATTATAACTCAAAATACATGAAATTTGATATTATGACTCTCCCTTTGTTCCCAAAGCAAATTCACCAATGTCATGATATGTCTTGATTACTGGTGAAGCTCTCATGCATTTTTGTAGCAAGAATCTTGTATAGCAACGTAGAATTGCTACAAAAAAAGTATCATCAAACACAAGCAGAGGCAAAACCTACTGGGTTTGATCTTTTTTTGTAGCAATTATATGTTGTTATACAAGGTCCCTTCTATAAAAATGCATGAGCGTCTCACAACAATAAAGATGCATTATCAAATTGGTGAATTTGCTTTTGGGAAAAAAGGGAGAGTCATAATATCAATTTTCATGTATCTTGATCTATACCTAGTTGCAATTGAGTTCCTAATATTAAAAGGCGGCAATTTGCAAAAGTTATTCCCAAATGCAAATTCGTATTGGTGGCCGGAAAATAGTAGACACAGAAACCGTTGTCTTTTTAGTTGCTCTCATAAATATTGCCAACAACATGGCTAAAGAACTTAGGATTATTAACTTATGTTATTGCTGGAAGAGTTTTATCCTCTATTATTCTAGTAATTGGTTCAGTTTTTTTGGTGAGAGCACTTGATGGTATTGGTTTTCAACAAAAAGGAATACCTTAAAGACGGAATGGGTTGACAACTGCAGTAAATATGTTTACCTTTTGTTATCGTCGTCAATGCAGTTTTTCCAACACTATGTCATTCCATGAAGGATATGAGCCCAATCCAAGATCCAGATGCTCTTTCGTCCTCATGTCTTTGTATCAATTAGCATTTACCTCTCTGCACAAAAAAAAATTGACACCCTTATCATGTAGCTCACATATGCAACATGATTTGTGAATAAATTTGGAATAATTCTAGTGAAACTAACAAGTCAAATATAAAAGTGACTTTGACAATTGTAGAAATGCTTCCCCAAAAGTTTTAAAACAGAAAAAGCAGCTCGATGCACTAAGCTCCCGCTATGCACAATGGCCGGGAAAGGGCCGGACCACAAGCATCTATTATCGTGACCTCTTGTTCACATGGCAACAACTTTATCAGTTATACCAAGGCTCCAATTCCCCAAAAGTTTCAAATGTCAACAAAAATCATACTTATCGGCAAATTAATTAAAAAATTATTGGAAAATTAACCACATGCAATTGTCCAACTTTAGTGCTTTTTCCATAGGCTATGTGATTTTTTTCTTGCTCTCATGAATACCATATTTCTTTCACATTTTGAGTATTACAAGATAGGGGAGGCCGTTAAAGTCCCGAGACTAAATAAAGGGGGTCTTCTTGTGAAACACAAAAAAAACATTTATAGATATTTAGTAAAATTATTAACAAATACTACTTGTTCATATAGATAAACGTTAGGTCACACGAACCCTTTAGCTAACCCTCTGGATTGGCCCCCAAATCAAGATGTCCCACCTATCAACAACATTCGTCTTGATAAAGAACAAAAAGGACAGTCCCGTGCGCTAAGGCGCAGGATCCGAGGGAGAGGCAGGCCACAAGGATCTATTGCATGAACTTTACCATGTATTTTTACAAGAGCCTGTTTTCACGGCTCGAATCCGTGACCTCCTGGTCACATGATAGCAACTTTACCAGTTATGCAAAAGGTTCCCTCTTGATAAAGAACAAAATCACAAATAAACGACACGAATTTAAGAACCAAAGCTTACCGATAATATACCGATCACGCCGCGGAACTTAATAGAGCCAAATCTTGCTAAAGAAATTGTTGAGAGAGAGAGAGGAAAAATTGAAACTGTAAATGTATTATCTGCTCATTTTCTGTGTGTAAATCTGTACAGATTATAGACCTATATATAAGTATATTGCCTGTGAAAGAGTCAATTCCAATATCCTAACAAACTCCTAACACAATGGGTAAAGGAGATTCGGAAGGAAAAAAAGATTACGAAGAAGTAGAAAGGGAGAAAGAGAGTGCTAAGTGCTAACTAACATAGAGGCATTTTTTGTGTCTTATAACTATACGGGTCCCACGATTTTTTGGACCCAGATATGTAAGATATGGGTCCACAAATATGTGAGATAAAAAGAGGATTCACACAACTAGTGTAAGTTGTGTGAGACACAAAATAAAATCACTTCAACGATAGGCTGCAGAAGATGTGACAAGGGGTGTGTTTGGTATAACGGAAAATATTTTCCGTGGAAAATGTTTTCCAAGAAAATATTTTCTTGGAAAATAAGTAGTAATCTTATTCATTTTTCGGTGTTTGGTACGTAAATTAAGGAAAATAACTTCTCAAGAGTATTCATAAATAATTTAGATATAATAAACATGAAGCCATAAACTTTCAAACCAACAACCTTCCGGACCCACAAATTTCATAAGCTTTCGAACCGCTAAACTTTCAAACTGCGAAATTTCGAACCCGTAAACTTTATAATTTTTAAACCCGTAACCTTCCAAACACATAAACCTCCGAACTCATAATTTTGGAACTTGTAAAATTTTGAGCCTCTAAACCGATAAATAATAAAATTAAAACTGAAAAATATATTTAAAATTTTTTTTTCGGGGTGAGGGGGTGGGTGGGGGGGGAGGCTGGGGGCAGTAAACAAAAAAACAGAAATTTAAATTAAAATTGCAAAAAAAATAAATTTTTTTA